TCTGTTTCGTACTTTGACCCGTGAAGCGGTGGATGTGTTTTATGAAAAACTGGTTGGCGGAACTAAATCTAATTTGTATGGTTCCGAGCTTTCCGAATAGTTTATACGAAGCGGCTGGGATATACGATACAAGACGTTATTGTTTCTCTGACATGTGTATTGTTTGTGGTGTTATTTTAAGGTAATTGTTTATGGATTTCGAGAATTTCAATTGTGGAATATACGTTTGTGCCACCTGCGCGTTTGAGTTTTTCTCCTAAACTCCAGACTTTATTGGTTTTGTTTTTCGCTTATTTATGCACGGCGAGCTTACAAAGTTGTGACGTTACTACTTTGTGGTGTGGTGTGTCCTTTTTGGCGAAACAAACGCATGCAACAAAGCAGCTGAAACGCACCCTAAAATTGCAGTTCGACTCAGTTTTGGACTGTTCGTTTTACAGGAGCAATAACGTTTGCATAAGTAAACTTAAATTTGACGATCTAATACTTTCATAACTTATAATTGGTGTGACGTAATTAAGTTACATTTTATTGGCAGCATATTTCCTGGCTAACAATAAAAGTTCCTAATAAAACATTTCCTATGTTGCCTAATAAAAGTGTTAGTTTCCTTAAAGGTTGCCACTTTGAGGTCTTAATTAAACACACAACGATTGACCCAGAAGTAACTGCTATTTAGAATTGCTAAATTTAAAGTTTACACTGGTCACTGTTTACGGCGAACATCAACCATATTATTAGATAATAAAGATGTTAATTTAATGATTCTAAGGAGGCATTAAGTGTGGCAATCTTCTACATTAGCTGTAAACAAATTTTACTGAGATTATTGAGTTTGTTAGACAAAACGCTTGCCGAAAATTCATCCATCCGGGAAGGCCTCTTGCATCTGCGATTAAGGCAACTAATTTCGAACTCCCCAAGTGGTTAACCAACAATTTAGTTATTTATTTCATTATATTTAATTAAATTCTCTTCTTCGTTTCCCAGTTTTACAAACTTTAAAGAATTTGCAGAATAATTTTCAACTCAAAGAGTAATTTTTCCAACAACATGAATAAACAGCAATGAGCAAATCGTTTTCTTCTTTATTTGACCTCAATAGGTAAAGAACCCAATTACAGGAACCATTTTCAAAATAACATAGGATTGGTCCTTGAACAAACTAGATACTAATAAATAAAAATACAATTCCGTATACTATATTTTTAAACTAAAACAAAAACTACAACGCCAGTTTAATTTCTAATCTGAAAAAATTGGTCTAAAGAGTTTAGACAGTACTTCCCTCGCTGTCGGAAACGTGACGACTGCATGCCTATTATGTTTTTTTCTCGCAGTGGATTTCAAAGAATTCGGTTTTGTAGTTCCTGAGTAAATCAATAAAATAAATTTACGCATTCATTAATTTTTTTGAGTCACCCTGTATATGCAAATCCAAAAAAAATCAATGGAGTGATAAATCACAAGTACAGACTCATCATATTTTGTACAGTTTAGATAGGATTTATTCGGCAAACTTTCGAGCTGACGTCATCAATTTTTTGGAGGGGATAAGCAAATGTATTTTGACTAAACATTTATTATGCTCTTTATAACCTTAAAACATCTGCAAGATTTCAAAGCATTCGGTCTTGCAGTTCATGATTAAATCAAAAAAATAAATTTACGCAATCATTAATTTTTTTGAGTCACCCTGTATATGCAAATCCAAAAAAAAAATCAATGGGGTGATAAATCACAAGTACAGACTCATCATATTTTGTACATTTTAGATACGATTTATTCGGCAAACTTTTGAGCTGACGTCATCAGTTTTTTGTAGAAGATAACCAAATATATTTTGACTAAAAATTTATTATACTCTTTATAACCTTAAAACATCTGCAAGATTTCAAAGCATTCGGTTTTGTAGTTCCTGATTAAATCAATAAAATAAATTTACGCATTCATTAATTTTTTTGAGTCACCCTGTATATGCAAATCCAAAAAATATGAATGGAGTGATAAATTACAAGTACAGACTCATCATATTTTTACAGTTTAGATAGGATTTATTCGGCAAACTTTCGAGCTGACGTCATCAAGTTTTTGGAAGGGATAAGCAAATATATTTTGACTAAACATTTATTATGCTCTTTATGACCTTAAAACATCTGCAAGACTTCAGAGCATTCGGTTTTGTAGTTCCTGATTAAATCAATAAAATATATTTACGCATTCATTAATTTTTTTGAGTCACCCTGTATATGCAAATCCAAAAAATATGAATGGAGTGATAAATTACAAGTACAGACTCATCATATTTTTACAGTTTAGATAGGATTTATTCGGCAAACTTTCGAGCTGACGTCATCAATTTTTTGGAGGGGATAAGCAAATATATTTTGACTAAACATTTATTATGCTCTTTATAACCTTAAAACATCTGCAAGATTTCAAAGCATTCGGTTTTCTAGTTTCTGAGTAAATCAGTAAAATAAATTTACGCTTTCATTAATTTTTTTGAATCACCCTGTATATGCAAATCCAAAAAATATGAATGGAGTGATAGATCACAAGTACAGACTGATCATATTTTTACAGTTTAGATAGGATTTATTCGGCAAACTTTCGAGCTGACGTCATCAATTTTTTGGAGGGGATAAGCAAATATATGTTGACTAAACATTTATTATGCTCTTTATGACCTTAAAACATCTGCAAGATTTCAAAGCATTCGGTTTTGTAGTTTCTGAGTAAATCAGTAAAATAAATTTACGCATTTATTAATTTTTTTGAGTCACCCTGTATATGCAAATCCAAAAAATATGAATGGAGTGATAGATCACAAGTACAGACTCATCATATTTTGTACATTTTAGATATGATTTATTCCACAAACTTTTGAGCTGACGTCATCCAGTTTTTGGAGGGGATAAGCAAATATTTTTTGACTAAAGATTTATGATGCTCTTTATAGCCTTAAAACATCTGCAACATTTCAAAGCATTCTGGTTAGGAGATTAAAAATTAAATTTCAAAATGTTGTTTTATAATTTTGATATTTTTTCCAAAAATCTGGACGTTTCGGGTGAAAAGTCAATTCGTAGTTTACATGTAGTTTACAACTGTAAACTACATCTGTAGGACTATGTTATTTTATACAATTGAAAACCCATTTACTATGTACAATTTTGAAGTGACGTCATCGCATTAGTGGTGGGGATGATAAGACAAATTTTGGTTAGCGTTTTACCATCTACATGATATTCTTAATATAAGTACAAAATTTCACAACAATCGGTCGAGTACTTTCGGAGATTATCTGTCTAATAAAAATCCGGGACGGCAGACAGACGGACAGACGGACAGACGGACGGACAGACGGACAGACAGACGGAAATGGGAGACCTATTTCTTCGTCTTCTAGGGGTCATGAAAGATCGAGAAAACGTAAAACTAGAGAGTCGGCCGACGGACTCGATTACAATACTTCCTTTGCTTACGCTCGGGAAGTAAAACTAGACAAATCTCGAGTGAAAGAAGATCCACTATTAACTGAATCCCGAAAAACATCACATACATTGCTACTTTACTAAATAACGTGCACATTACAGATACCGAAAAGTTGAAAACGTTAGTTCGAGATTGGGGAACATAAAATATCAAATGCTGACGAATATTACATCTTGGAATGAGAGAATTTATTTAGATAATAATTTAGGGAAGTCTATGTTGCCATTCGGCAAGTTATAAAGAAATCGCATCATTAAAATGTTGCGTCGGACACTATAAGAGACGTGAAGTTACTACACACTATGGTCAAATCCTCAAAGTGGGTAAACACCATCTTGGATAAGAGCCAGAAGTTCGAGAACTCTGCGCTGAATAATTTCCAGGTTCTTACAATATACTTCATAAATGCGGTACCAAATCACAAAACCATATTCTAATTTGGAGTAAAAAGACAATAAAATAAAATCTTCAGCATACGTTTGTTGGCGAAATTACTGCAGCTGCGATAACTAAATCCGTATACTTTGTAAACTTCCGAGATAATATCTAGTTAATAAAAGTTTAACCTACTATCAAAAATTATCCCTAGATCCTGAAAGCTATCTACTCTATCGGAATGAAACTTTCCTATGTTTATACACGTATAGAACTTTAAAAAAGTCCAAACACTATATTAGGTAAATTTATAACAATGCCCTTTAATCAAGATGTGTCGCTATTTCCAAGCCCCAGTCACTTATTTTGAATACAAGAAACATTTTCAAAAAAAAAAATAAAATAAAAATACAAAACTTTATATACATTTAGTGTACCATATAATAAGTACAAAAACTTGTGATTCAGTATTGAATAAATTTAGAAATTATAGACGGTTGCTTTTCTGGACCGATTTGACAACATATAAGTAGGTGGTTTTGTTACTGTCGTATCTATTCCCACACCATAATTACGAATTTATGATGCATGATTTTTCCTTCTAAATTTGATCTTATAGCAACCGTCATTCGGCTCCTTTATTTTCGTAAAATGACGTTTCATTAACTCCAAATCTAATATAATTAGTTTTACTCTAACTGATTTATTCTGATTTACTGGCTTCATTTAAGACTTTAACTACCATGCTTTACCGAGGTGTGTGTAGTTACTTCTAGGTACAATGTAGGTGTAGTCGTTCGAAATTAGTCAAATTTTTGTATAAGCTATTCCACTCTCAAATAACTATGCTCTAGGAGCAATACAAATATTACGAACAGTGAAATGTTTTGCAAAAAATTCTAAATATAAATCTTTTACTCAGAACGTCATAAAAATGATATTTATTACCTTTTGAATTAATACGCATCTATTTACAAGGAAGATTAATAGATTCTTTTATTTATGGTTTTATTATTAATGCCTCTCAACTTACATGACGAAACTATTAAGCTTCACTGAGCTATTGTTCCTATAAATAAAGTTCAAACCTCAAGGGAGCATTAACACTTTTGATGTTTTAATTCCAGGTCGAGAAGATGAAAGTGATACCGAATCAGAACCTGGGATTCCGCTGAAAAGAAAACAGCGACGATCAAGAACCACATTTTCAGGCGAACAGCTCGAGGCGCTCGAGAGGGCTTTCAGTCGAACTCAATATCCCGATGTCTACACGCGCGAGGAATTAGCCCAACAGACCGGATTAACCGAGGCCCGGATACAAGTACGATAAATCCCTCTTTCAGAAATTTCAAAACAATGCGATTTCCTTTTGATCAACAAGTTTTCACAAGTGGCGATTTTCCGCAGGTATGGTTTTCCAATCGAAGGGCTCGTTTAAGAAAGCACGTAGGCAACGGTAATGCGACAGCCCTGGGCTTCGCCTCGCTTCCGCTGGCTAACATGGCCTGCCAATACCCCACAGACGGCACACAGCACGACTGGAGAAACGCGCAGTTTACAAACTATAACATGTTTCAGCAGTCTTCGTACAACGCGAACCACCAAGACAACAGAACGGACTATTCGGCAATATTCGACGCGAACTATGCTTTAGCTCAGGCCCAGATGGCCCAGGCTTCGAAGAAGGAGGTTGACACGAAGGACGGCATCTTGGGGACGAATCCTGGCATGAACATGAGCTCCTCGTGGGGAAAGAACGGGGACTGGATGAGCATGCAAGAGAACGGTTCCGCGACTTTTAACGGTGACGTCTTCGGACAAGCACAGTATTCGGCCCATTCGGCCAAGAATTACTGGGCATAGCGCAGGCTTGAGCGGTTAGGTGCATTAGGTTAAGAAAAGACTTTGTTGGCACTTCCCAAACTTCATAAACTTTAAAGTATTTGCATAATTTAGAAATAAACGTTGATAAGGAAGCATCCGAAAGTATTATTTCCGCAGTGGAACGCTTGAGCGGGTAACGGGTAAGAAACGGGACAGTATTGTCAATAATTTTTATTTGACGTTTAAAATCCACATTTATTTCATGTTAACTTCAATTAAGACAGAAGCCGCTGTAAAATTCGGCTATTATTGTCTACAAGTACATTTATTGTCATTGATATACTTTTAGGAGGAAGTCTATTGTCATACACAGCAAAGTATTGTCATCCTTAGTCCAGCCCTGTTTGAAATTTATGTAACGTCCAATACTAGAATTTATCATTTGGCCTTAATCTACGCTAAACCTCTAATGATAATATGCTTAGGATGATATTCTTGATTGAGACTTATTAAAAATATCATTTACCAAGGACCAATTTGATATACATCCAAGGATATGGTACGATTACCAGATATGTGATGAAGTTGACAGCTAGGAAAACAAACTACGACATGTCTGAAAGAAATGAACGCATCCTGGGGTGAAACATTTTCCTCAACAAAATCCGATCGACGGCGGGTTGCAGTAAAAACCTCTTATCTTCTAATGAAAGCGCGTTTTCGGAGATGGCGTCGTCTTCGGTTTGCCCATCTGCGGAAGTCTCCCTGAAAAATGAGGTTTATGAGTCGGTTAACAATTTCAATTCAACCTTCCGTATTTACAGGACGAATAAGACGAGAACTGTGCTAGGAGATAACGGAAATATTTGCGGAATGTGCGTTATGTATTTAAGTTACGACAAACATTCAAACTAAGTTATGGTTCTGGCCCGAGGAATTATACAACCAGGAATACCCGTTTATTAAACTCCTCGTCCGTGGTGGGACCATCTACATGAACAATCCTTCCTAGACTAAACATCCAACTACTTCAAGAGGGCATTGGCGGCAAAAATCTCTCTTATTTAACTAATTATCGATTATAACTGTCACATATTAAACGTCTTTATCCAAACACCCTCTTGAAAACACAGCTACCATCGTTCCAACCTGCAGCCTTCCAAACTGGTGGATCTACCAGATCTGTTGAACCTTCTTACATTTCGTAGCGTCGGCAGCCAGCCCAGACGTGCTAAAGCACCTATGTGTCGTTTTTCAGGAGCTCGAAAGCGTGAGGTTGGCCTGAACCAGCCAGTTTTGGCCACCGAGCCTACATAATTGAGTTCGATAATATAAACTGACAACAGCACGTAACTTTATTTACAAAAAAAAAACAATAATAGAACTCTTTGTTCGAAACGACTGGGTTAATGGCAGTAAAATGTTTTCGTTGCCACGAAGCCATTATCACAAAGCGATTACTTTCAATCACATATGTGACGACCGTCATATTGATTAATGCTGCATTCATACAGCGAAATAAAACAACGATGGACGAAAGATAAAACTCTGGTCAAATGTGGTTAAAAGCAATGCGATCCGTCAATTTACTAATCGATCTTTTTGAATAAAAATATGCCAGGTTATGGAGTCGATTTGTAATTGAAACCGAAGGAAATCAATCTTATTCTCTTCTACCCTTCGAATCCGGCTTTATCCCCGACTAGTAAAAAAGAAGCACGTCTTTACTCAAAGTCCTAAATCCACAATATCCCCGAAATCAATATTGCGTGTCCACCGACACCGTAATATAATCAGTGCTTTAAACTCGCAGCAAATTTAGCTCATGTCATAAAATGCTCCAGAACATCCATAGGATAATCCCCAAAATTAAATTTCACTCCCGCAAATTAATTTTCTTCTCAATAAAACTCCTTGCAACTTACCTAGAAATCTTTTGTCGTTATTAGGATAAGCCTCAGTCAACGCATTCATAAGCTCCTCATAATCGTCGACGTTTTGGTTTTGGTAAACTGGTGCCGGGTATTCTCCACTTTCCGTGTCAAAGTAACTTGCTTGCCTCTTATTTCTGGCGGACCTCTTGAATTTCCCCGAATATTGCGCTTTTATGGACGCGATGTTTCTCTTTCCTCCTCCCGCTTGACTGTCTTCCGCCTTGTCCTCGTTCCTTTGTGCATTTAAATAATTGTCTTGCCTTAAAAGAGCGGCGGCGTTCCGTTTTCCGACGAACCTCCCACCCTCTCTGGCCAAAGAAGCAATATTCCTCTTACCAGTATACTGAAAATCTCCTCCGCGCATTAAACTCCCCAAGTATCTCTTACCGTACGACGGAAAATTGAAATTGCGCGCCAAACTTCCGATGTTTCGTTTGGTGTAAAGCTCGTCTAACAACTCCTGGATTTCTCTTCGAGTATGCAACTCACCGTTCCGGGCTAACGATTCGATTCCCCGTTTACTTTCGTTATTTTGAAAAGTGGGCAGTTGGCCGTTTTTCGCCAGAGTCGCCAAACTCCGCTTGTAGTTGGGGTCTTCGTCGTCGTCGGCGGGCAACGTCCGGAAGTAACCGGCTCGTGCTAGAGCTTCTAGGCTGCGCTTTCCGGGCAAATTTCCCCACTGGGCTAGAGAACTTATCGAACGTTTATAGTTTGTTTCGTCTTCGTCGTCTGTCCTGTCGAGAGCTTCTTGGAAACGGCGGAGGAGATCCTTGCGTAGAGCCTGCTGTTGCATAGAGGGGTATTCTTGTGGAGTGAGTAGAGCTTTGAGGGTGTTTTCTATTTCTATATCACATGTTTCATCCGAATTTACCTGGGGATTTAAAAAACATAGTGGAGAATGTTGGTTGTCATAAAATGCGGTCACAAAAATCATTACAGGTATGCAGGCCATAGTTTCTCACAACACCAAAATTCATAGCAGAATTGTTCTTGCGGTTTTTGGCATACTAAAATATGTCTTTGAAGGGTGGTAAAAAATTGTACAACTTCTTTTCTCTCTTCAAAGTTGTTTTAACTAAAAATTTAAAAAGTTCTCATAGGTACTGCTAAACTTTTTTCGTTTGATTGCTTTTATTTATTTTTGTTCAGGAGTAAACATTTTGATTTACAGTTGACTTTGAACCAATGATAATTGAACGCCAAACAAACCTTTACTTTAAACGTTTATTTAAAATTATACTTTCTCTTTTACACCTTCAAATCAATAATCTTTTAAAAATAACGGATTCATTAAGCAAATACCAATTTTTGAACGAGACTAGTGGTTAAATCACTTACAATAAGTACCTAAATTAACATAACTTTTTCACATTTCAGACTGGATAGAGCAATTCGTATTCCTGTATCTTTAAATTTTATCATAAAATTTTCGCAGTAATCCGTCAACTGTAACGTTAAACACTTGGTTATAAATATATGTTGAAGATTTTGAAGAGTTTTGCTTTTATAGATAATATTTTATAGCCTTAAATATTTTAACAACTATTAAACATCGAGTGGGCGTAAGGGAAGGAAGTATTGTAATATCCGACAAATGGCCACTTCTATGTTTTCTGGACGTTTCTTGACCCCTACAGTACAAAAAAAAGTAGTCTCCCGTTTCCGTCCGTCTGTATGTCTGTCTATCTGTCTGCATCCATTTTTATTAGATACGTAATCTCCGAAACTGCTGATTGTTGTCAAATTTTGTGTGTCTATTAGAAATATCATGTAGATGGTTAAATTTTAATGAAAATTTGGCTACTCATCCCCACCAACAATTTGATGACGTCATTTCAATGAATGGTATTCTAAAATGATTTGAATGTTACTCAAAAATATACTCATATACTTGTAGTTTACGAATCCCTCTTCAGTTTTTTTGATAAACATTTAAATTTTCGCAAAAACATTTGCAAGGTTTAATAACGTTTTATGCTGTCACTAGAATTATCCATGTTGATGACGTCATCACAAATTTTTTATTGGCCAAATTAAGAACGAGTCACCCCATTTTCTTTAAAAATTAGAATTATAATATTCAGGACATTTTGTTCGGTTGTGGGTAAATTAATAATTTTAGTCCTGTTTTGAGAAGACAAACTCATTCAAATCAAACTAATTTCTACGTGACATTCTTTCGATGTATAACCATAAATAAACGCTTGAGCTTCAGATTGTTATAGCCTAGTGCTAAAGGACAAGCCGTATTATTTATGCATCTGGTTTTTATTTTACAACGATTATCACAAAACGGAAATCGTAAAATCAAATTTTATAATTTAAAACAATTGAGATTTGTCGGATTATATTTATCGCCTTCGACCCATCTTTTATTGATCAAATTAAGAACCACATTTATTAGTTTTGCTCACACAGCGTCACTTAAAAAAAAAATTAATAAATCAGTCAATTTATTTTATTGAATAAATTAGGAATTGCAATAGTGAATACTTTGAAATCTTGCAGACGTTTTAAAGTTATTGTAAGCATGTAAATTGTTAATCAAAATATATCTGTTTATTCCTCCAAAAAATTGATGACATCATCTCAAAATTTTGCCGAATAAATTCTACACAAAATGTGCAAAATATGATAAATTTTAAATTTTTTCTTGTAATTTATCAATGTATTCATATTTTTTAGATTTGCCTAAACAGGTGGCTCAAAAAATTAATGAATGAGAAAATTTTGGGAATACTATACTGTTATTTTTAGTATTACACTGCACCAATCCAAATTGATAGACATGTCCTTGCAAAACTGTTGATGACGTCATCACAAAATTATGTGAAGAAAAAACTCAACTCGAAAATGCTGGATATGTTTCATGTATGTAATTCAGGAGCGAGGGAAGTTCTGTCGAAACAACTTTTGACCAATTTTTTTTGAGTTGTGGTTTAGTTTTCGCTGTCCCTTATGTCACCAAATTACGACTCTTGGAGCATACAACTTGGGTTGTGGTAGGTTGCCTATAATCCCGCGTCTTAACTTAAATTATGCTTTGTTTTCATTTTTGAAAATTTGTTTCGCTTATTGTGTTTCCAATTTTGGACAAAAATTGGTCATTTTTAAGGCTACAAGGAAGTTGATTTGCCATATTCACTTTGTCGAAACATTGCCAAAAGGAAGCTGCTTCCCTAAAAAATGCAGGTGTTTCAAGAATTTAAACTAGAGTGTAGAAAGTCCACATTATTAGAAAGAAACGCCATTTGGGCCTATTTTCTTAGAGTAATCAATTACAGCTGAGAGAAGTCAGAAAATGCTATAACAATTTATTGACCAGCTTGATCCTGAGAATTGCAAAATGGATATTTTCAGCATGACGGTACAACAGCTCATACAGCTCAAACATACAAGTTTGAACCTTCTAAGGGAATATTATTTCGGCCGTTTAATTAGCTCTGAGGAAAACCACATACAACCACACATTACCTTATTTAACACATTTGGCAAATTCTTGGGCAACTAGAGCACAAATCAAAAAATCACCTGGTATTAAATGTGTACTTATTGCACAAATATTGTAAAAATGATGTTCAAAGATAAAAAAATAAGTAACTCAGGATATAGTACAGTTTTACCAGACTAGGTAAGTCTAACGGCACTCTTTCTCGGCAGACTGAAAGACCACGTGACTTGATTTATCGATAAATTAACGCCATAGATGTTCTGCGACCAATAGCTGCTAACCACTTCAAAATGATCGACAACACTTTTTTAAAGTTGTTAGAACATTGTGAAGCTCACTTCACAGGGCTTACCTCTGGAAACTTCATAACGGTCTGTTTCAGAATTGCCAACACCAGTTTGGGCCACAATTATTTTTTTCTTTTTTATCATTTTGTCCATAATACCTAAAAGAGGTGGTGGTAAAAAGTCATCTGTTTTGCATAGCTATAATCACTGGACGGAACTAAATTACATAATATAATGAATTTTACTCCAACATGTTTACAATTTTTTTAAAATCGGTAAATAATAATACTCTTGAAATACGTTCCTCGGACTTTGTGTATGTGGTTAACGGCAATATTGGCCGCAGTTACAAATAACAAATGAAATCTCAAACAAATTTTAAGACGATGAATCATATCAAAAGAGAATTTTCGAAAATTATTAAATACTCGTACGTCTGTTCATTTCGTACAATTTCAAACTACTCCAAAAAAACTAGCGTTTTCTCACTGGTCAATTTAAAGCATTGCTACAGAAATGACTCGTACTCGTAACCAACATTATCACCTTGTCAAGTATCAAGTCTAGGCAACCAGTTAAACTTCACAAGCCCTACATTTTAATCCACAAAAGTGTGTTCCAAACTTCGATATCCTGTCATTTTCGTGCCGCCGAATAACCAAGCAAGAATTACAGTTTAATAAAGCGATTTGGAAATTAGCATAGCTTAAATTTAAGCTTCGCACCATCTGGTTTGACACTCTTTTTCACCCAGCGTCATTCACAAAAAAACCCTTCCAAAATTTGAATACAACAGAATTTTTAAAACGGAAACACAACCGGCCCCAATAAAGCAAGATTGATGGTCCGAACGAAAGCAAAATTCAATAAATAGCTTTTCGAAACAAAAATTTAATAATATTCGTGCATCGGCATAACTCCCGCTCATTTAATCTAATAAAAGGCCGTATCTCTCGAAATAATTTTAAACAGCGTTTCGCAAACATATTAGTCAGATATTTAATGGACAGTGAAGCTATTAGGCTCTTCCAATAAAATGAAACTCTCGTGAATACACGACCTAATTAAATTGGAGCTTCTGTCAAGCGGAGGAGTGATCCTGCAGCGAATTATTCCCAGAAATTACTCGATTCAAGTACGAGTAATGTCCAATTAGAGAGAACAAAGGTCGCCTCATAGCCACACATAATCGTGCCATTAAATCAAATCGGGATTTTTCGAGAATTTAATTACGTTTTAATTGAAAGAATAAATTCATCGGCTGATTTTCAAATACCGATAAATGTCAACGGTGAGAACACCGTGTGCTATTTTCGTACACATGTGAAAGAGATTTTAGATCATTATTACAGTTGAATGTGTTCAACGAAGTAAGATCAAAGCGAAGCACCGAGTTTCGATATTATGTATTTAGCGGTCGCTTTCCGAAAACGCCAGTCGATACCGAATTAATTCATAAGTTGGTAGAGTTATCTCTGTTGTTGGCAACAATAGAACAAAAACATCAGCGGAAAGTTAACTTAATACTTGCCTAATTGATTTTCGAAAGTTCGCTGTGAACGACAGCAGCGATCCACATTTAGTACAAATCGTATTGAACTGTTTAGTGTTTCAAACATTTTCACTAAACACAACAAAGTAAGCACAAAGAGTTAAGATGAGGGATTAAGGTACTCCAGGTACCAGTGTAACGAACTGTGACCTTGAACCGAAGTTGCTATTCGCCCAAATAAAAAGCCAGAGGGAACTGATTACACATTTTTTTTTATTTAATAATCTTCATATTTTTCATTAAACATTGCTTTAGTCGATTCGGTGCGCCGTATATTTGCATTTAATATGATTCTCATAAAGCGGAAAAGTACACAAAAGAACATTTCATCAATGCAAAGCTACTAATAAGAAAACAAAAAGCGAAGCAAATGGCAAACAATTAGTCACAAAGCTGCTCATTGGACTGAAGTTCGATTCAACACAAAGTACACAACTTATCCGATTCTTTGTTCTCTACTCATATTAAACGGATACAGTTGTCCTCTTACTAACGTTCTTCGTAATAAAATAGGACACTGGCGTAATACCCCCAAGATTTATTCCTTGTTCGTCCGACACAATGCAAACCTCGTGAATTTTATGCTTGCGACTACACTTATTGCAACTTGTCTCTAACTTGAGAGAAATATTTCTTTTATTATTCGCTAGCGAAGCTGATGTCAGCGATATTGAATTAAAGTCGAAACACGAATTGATTAAATCTGTGGATTTAATATATTGAACTACCGTTCCAGCCCTCGTAAATTAGACGAACAGATATTATTAGATTAATATCTTGTCTGTGGTGCTAAATTCCATTTGCTTTAGGGTGCGACGAAATAGAAAGAATTTCATTAAACGAAATTAGGTCATCGAGACGTACAAACTTGAGGAACTGTCTTTCTAATGATTGGCCTTTCATTCAACGGTTTATGTTCGTTAAACAAGGATTTGTAGAAGATTGATTGGAGGGTGGAAAAAATTCTTTGAGATTCGTTCGAATACAACGTCATTCTGTCACTGGAACTGAAAAGATAAGTGTTTAAACGGGTTCCAGAAATGAGCACGCAAAGATATCAAGCGGCCATTTTGATTCTTATTATTTTTATGAAATTTAGAAAATAAAAAGTGCTTGAATTAGTTCTGCTTTAAAACTGCTAATTTCGTCCTTTCTGTCTGAAACGTGGCGACTAAAATTTTAAAAGTATACATCCGTGACACGGGATTTTACCTGCTTCTGGTACAATGTCATTTACAGTCTCTTTTAGTTTTTTTTTTTTAATTTTTACCAACTATATTATGAATTATGCACATTCTTAGTACTCATTAAACTCTATGGAAGAAATTTATTTGGTTTCCAGAATAAACCCCACTGTCTGATTAATACTACAATCAGACTACTATTCATTCGTTTCAACGTGCGCTGCATTAAAGATCAGCGAAAAATAAAGTTGTTTCCACAGTTAGTAATATTTTTTCATTTATTTCCTAATTTAAATATAACACGAAGTCAATTACCAAATTGATTCACCGCCAAACCAACTTACCATTCTTACACACGACAGTATCAAGCAAATTCAAAAAGAAATCAATACATTCCCAATTTCCCCTGTCTATTTCTTTAGATGTATTGTGCAGTGATTGAAGTCTAATTAAATTAGTTACGACATTAATTGCTTCTTTCGTTCCGAATTGTGCGAACAAAACAAATCACTGCATTGAGCAATAAAATCACAAATGAATTGAGCAAATGTTGACACTTACTAACGGAGCTTAAAGACAAAAATTCGATTAATGATCAAACCACCGCCGACGATCGGTTTTGTAATGTTTTGGTAATTAATTCAGTGATGCAAAATTTACAACGCTTATCAAAGCCAACTCTGAATCAAAATATTTTCGAATGTTTTAAGAATTTTTGCATTTATACAGCAAAAAACCTTGATCATAACAACTGACACCCTAATTTCAGGACACAATTCAATTTTTACATTTTTTAAACATTTTTTGTTTTTTGAATTTTGTCATCACCTCATCACAGAACTAGAAATTTTTTTAGATGTGAATTACATATAAACAACTGGACTCGTGGTTGAACGTAATAGTTAAATTTAATCATTTTTAAATGTTTTACAAATGTACCTTAAAAGTACCAGTTTGCTCATTTGAAAAGAAAACTTTTAATCTTTAACTATTCTTACTTCCTGGTGCGTTTTTTGAGGAACAAGAACTCATTCACTATCGAGTAATATAAATTTAAATAACAATTTTTTAAAATAAAAATATTTGGCTTGCAAACACTCTGCCATAATCTGTTCATGATTTTAACAGATCCGAAAAAAAAAAATCCGCGATTACCACACTACGACACAATTTTTCCATCTTTATCAAAAAAATACGCAACTTACCATGAAAAATAAGGCAAACATCAAAATACCGGTCCCAAAAAAGAATTTCGGCGCACCGAAAACAGCCATCCTTTGAATTGGCGCCAATCGAGAACAATACACACTGTTGCTTCAGATGCAACACGTCGTATCAACCGTCGACAGACGCTCACAAACCGTCGTGACGGCGGGCGTCTGTTTTATACAGTTAGGAAAAACAGCGGGGGCGGCGGATCGAGATGGGGCTATGCGCGCAGGATCCGGACTAGGACACGAAATGCGCTCCTATTATCCTGTCAAACTGCCTACGACGGATTTGAGTTATTGTCCCTGTACGAAAATTGGCCTCGACCGTGAGAAATTCGGAGTTAATCGATGGCGGAAATATAGGAAGGAAATACGGAGAAATCCGGGAAGCTGACAGTTGACGTAATGGTTAGTTAGAAATGCCCAAAGTAAGGGTCTGGCGAAACAAGAAGTGCCCAATAGGGAGTTTCCGAGAATTTTCGAAGTTTGGGGAAATATTTTTTCCTTGTAAAGCTGAGTTACGGACAATTCCTGCGAAGCAGTTATGGTCGGTTTTACGATACCGTAAAGCTGGTTCACTTACTTTAGTTTTAAGATACAAGAAAGTACAATTTTATCTTGACCAGTTTAAATTAGACGAAAACGTCGTATTCATTCATTCTTTATGAATGGGTTATTAGAGCATTAAACGGAAAATGATTTAAATTCTTTTTACATTCTTGAAGAACCAGACAGAATGATTCTTTACTACGGCAAATCTACTTCAATTGGCCTAAATATTTTGAAGAAAAATATCTTGCAAGAAGTTCTTTTGTGTTTCTTCAACTGAGTCACTTGAAAGAGCTTTTTCCTAATACAGAGTGTTCCTTCATTTATAGTATATAACAAAATGCTAATTTTTTCAAGAGTAAACTAGAACATATTAATATACAGCCTGTTATTGAAAGGTACGTACAAAATAAAATCGGCAATTGGTCTTGAAGTATGGGTGCTAAAAGTTAAAAAAAGTTCAGGTAAAAGTGTTCTCTTTTTAGAGATAAAAATTATTAAAATTTATGTCCAAATTCGTTGTACGCCTCTGATAAAAAGATCATCTTTCGTTTCTATAGCAACATTAAGTCTTGACAAAAGTTTTATTGTTACAGTTGCTAGGATTTACTAAAGTAAATTAATTTTACGTATTTATCCTTCAGCAGCATCTAAAAAGGTTGGATAAGGGTTAATTTTCCCCTTATAATTTTGATAACACAAAATAAGTTTTTCCGACTTCTTAGACTTCGCGAAAAACTGTCCATTCTGTTGTACGTACCTTTCAATAACACCCTGTATTTTTTTTGAGCAATGTAAACTTGTAAGTAATCATACGTGTGGTTACAATTTTTATCTTTTTTCGTATCAATAATAATTAGAATTAATTAATTACAATTATAAATACTTATAATTTGATTTGATTTGAGTTATGGAAAGTTCAGACAATATTACCGCCAATCACGTCGTCGAATTTGACAATTTCAGGTAGAATGGAAACACTATGAGAGGAACATGTTGAACAACACATTGTGTCATTTAGACTTTAACCAGTGGGGTATCATTTGAGTTCTGAAATAGGGAAATTATACAAAATATATTTTCGTATTGTTACGAAATAAACCCATACGCTGTCCCGGTACGACGCCTATAGGTTTTCTACTATGGGCGGCGATGATGGGTGACTCATTGTCGATGATGACGGCGGCCGGACGGCGTTCGCTAAAGAAAAGGCTGGAAGCAGAAGTCGCGATGGGTGCTCCAGAACAAGCCTAGAAGCGGTGACGGCGACCTTTCGAGAAGGAGCGCGTGTTATTCAAAATGGGAGCCACTGTCGGGAGCAGTCAGTGACGTCCGGACAATGGGAGAAGTAGAGTCTAGTCAAATCCATTCCAGTCAAGTCGGAGTTATTCTGTACAAAATCGCTGTGTAATTCGTCGTGTAAATTTCAGTTACTAAGAAATAAATTGTTGACTTTTACCCACGCCGATTTTTAATCACCGATCATCGTCACAATCTATATGTATATTTTTTGATCAGATGTTTAAAAACGTGAAGTATGATTGATTATCCAAACAAGACGTAACGAAGCTTTGTTCTAACTTAACCAAGTCCGGATGCTTTATGTCTGCGGCGTTTTATGGCAGTGTTCTTCTTAAAGAATTTCCATTCTATTTAAAAGGTATTAATTTATTACAGTGGAAAGTTTAAATTTATGGTGTCCTAAAAAAATCCTTTAACTGTTAAAAATTATTAAGTAATTATTCTAGCACACAAAGCGATGAAAAAGGACAATAACGATAGGGAGGTAGTTATATTAATTTTACAGGAAAATTTCAATTTTTTCCCAAGTTATATTAAAACACACAAAAATAAACATTTCGTTATTGTTTTTACGACACTTTAAGCAATGTGCTTCCAGTGTTTGTAATTTCCCGATAAGTAGTTAAAACTGAAGTCAGGCATTAATCCCCAGACCTCTCATCTGGGAAGCGGGCGCGCTACCGCTAGACTACCGCTGTGGTTATAGGGCTTCGTACTATGTATCTAAAGAACAAGAACAAGAATAATCAAGGTAGATTCATAAACCACAAGTACAGGATTACGTTATTTTACAAAATTTAAATGGTCTTTACTAAAAAACGTTTTTCCAGGACGTCATCAAATTGTTGGTGGGCACGACTGGAGACAGTAAGTTTGGCTAGTTTCATCATCTACTGCACTCCTAAAATGCACATAAAATATGATGACAATCGGTCCAGTAGTATCGAAGATTATCTATCTAATGAAAATTGACACAGATGTCAAAAACTGAAATATGAGACCAAAAGAGTATAATGTATAATGCAATAAAATACTACTGTATGTTAACTGACGACGAAAAAATCTTAACAACTTCAAAAGTATTAAACTAAATACTGTATACAACAAAAGAATTTTTGTATATGACATCTTCGTAGTGTTACTTATACTACTTTACTCTTTTTGTAATAATTTGCTAAAATTCCATTTGACAACAATGTTTACCTGATATAAACCGAAGGTACAAATCGGCAAAAATCGAGTAAGCAGTTAAAAATGTTTGACGTATCAAAAATTTTTAAAGCTCTCAAAACCCTACGTTTAAAGTGTTCGCAGTTAATTTTAGGTCCCGGTGTATTATTAATGAATTTAAAGGAATCTGGTGTTGTGTTGCTGGATGAACTCGAAAAAATCTTTTGAGATTTTAATGTTTTATTTTGTATGAATTTGAAAAAGTCTTGAGTGCCGCATTGTTTTTACTTCCCGAGCGTAAGCAAAGGAAGTATTGTAATCGAGTCCGTCGGCCGACTCTCTACTTTTACGTTTTCTCGATCTTTCATGACCCCTAGAAGACGAAGAAATAGGTTCCCATTTCCATCTGTTTGTCCGTCCGTCTGTCCGTCTGTCCGTCTGTCTGCCGTCCCGGATTTTTATTAGACAGATAATCTCCGAAAGTACTGGACCGATTGTTGTGAAATTTTGTACTTATTTTAGGAATATCATGTAGATGGTAAAACGCTAACCAAAATTTGACTAATCATCCCCACCACTAATGCGATGACGTCGCTTCAAAATTGTACATCCTGTTTAAAATGTACAAAATATGATGCGTCTGTACTTGTGATATATCACTCCATTCATATTTTTTGGATTTGCATATACAGGGTGGCTCAAAAAAATTAATGAATGCGCAAAATTTATTTTATTGATTTACTCAGGAATTACAAAATCGAATGCTTTAAAATCTTGAAGATGTTTTAAAATTATCATAAGCATGGTAAATTTTTGATCAAAATGTATTTGGTCGTCCCCCCTAAAAAGTTTATGACGTCACCACAAAATTTTGCTGAATAAATCCTATCTAAAATGTACAAAATATGGTGAGTCTCTTCTTGTGATTTATCATTCCATTCAAATTTTTTCGATTTGCATATATAGGGTGAAAAAAAAATTAATGAATGCGTCAGTTGATTTTATTGATTTAATCAGGAATTACAGAACCGAATGCTTTGAAATCTTGGAGATGTTTTAAAGTTATCATAAGCATGGTAAATTTTTTATCAAAATGTATTTGCTCTTCCCCCCTAAAAAATTGATGACGTCACTCCAAAATTTTGCTGTATAAATCCTATCTAAAATGTACAAAATATGATGAGTCTGTACTTGTGATTTATCATTCCAATCATATTTTTTGGATTTGCATATACAGGGTGACTCAAAAAAATTAATGAATGCGTCAATTTATTTTATTGATTTAATCAGGAATTACAGAACCGAATACTGTGAAATCTTGGAGATATTTTAAATTTATCATAAGCATGGTAAATGTTTTATCAAAATTTATTTGCTCATCCCGCCCTAAAAAAATTGATGACGTCACCCCAAAATTTGGTAAATAAATCCTATCTAAAATGTGAAAAATATGATGAGTCTGTACTTGTGATTTATCATTCCATTCATATTTTTTCGATTTGCATATACAGAGTGACTGAAAAAAATTAATGAATGCGTCAATTTATTTTATTGATTTAATCAGGAATTACAGAACCGAATGCTTTGAAATCTTGGAGATGTTTTAAAGTTATTATAAGCATGGTAAATTTTTTATCAAAATGTATTTGCTCATCCCCCCTAAAAAATTGATGACGTCACCCCAAAATTTTGCTGAATAAATCCTATCTAAAAGGTACAAAATATGATGAGTCTGTACTTGTGATTTATCATTCCATTCATATTTTTTAGATTTTCTTAAGAGGTGGCTCAAAAAAAGTAATGAAGTCAATTTATTTTATTGATTAAATTAAAGGCAACACTTATTATTAGTATTACATTGGACCAACCCAATTTGGTAGACACAAAATTTTTTAAAGTAAAAACTCGGTTGAAACATAAGGGTAGCACGCTTATTTACATCGACTTTAACATTACAGACGTGCATTTGATTTATGCGCTGACTAGGTTCCGCGAATGTGGAATAGACATGTTTATAATCAACCAATTGTGAATTCCACCGTCAAAAATTAAAATAAAACCCAAAGTTTTATATAATAAGCGGAAGTCGAAGCAATAAAACCGATGGTCGTTTTGTTTACAGTTTCTCTGTTTGACTCTCACGTATGCTGTTACGCTTGTCATCTTAAATTAAGAATGTTTATACATAAACGATTTTCAGTTGCCTCTCATATTACACACCGGCGCCGTATACGTGAGTAAATTGTTTCGTTATTTTATTGATTATAACAAATCAATATTCAAAACGACCCAATTCATTTTCACGAAAATTTGGGAATACAATAATATTATTCTTAGTATTACACTACATCTATCCCAACTGATATACTTGTCCTTGCAAAAATGTTGATGACGTCATGGCAATTTTTTTTAAATTTCCACTACAAAAATGTAATGAGAAAAAAACACAATAGGCATGTCAAGTTTCCGACAGCGAAGGAAGTACTGTCTAAACTCTTTAGACCAATTTTTTTTTTTTAATTCGGGAGACTCTTGGGTACCCATTGTGTATTATTTAGGGAGCCCATGGAGATTTTTTTTGTAAATTATTTAAAACAATTTTGGGAGACTTTGGTGCAATTTTTGGAAAATTCTGACCTGACTTATTTTTCAATTGATTTTTTTTTTGAAAAATTTAAAACAATCTTAAGGTTTTAGGTATTCCTGTTTGGAAAGAATTTGAAAGTGCTTTGGAGTTTCTAGTGCCTTTTCTTATAATAATATAATAAGCTAAAATGAATCTTATCTTAGCAGATACTAGCCCCACGCATCCACCCTCTCTTTTCTTAGAGAGTATCTCATCTGCCAAAATCACTCTTATCTTAGTAGCTACTAGTCCCGCCCACCCACCCTCTCTTTTCTTAGAGAGTATCTCACCTGCCAAAATCACTCTTATCTTAGTAGCTACAAGCCCCGCCCATCCACCCTCTTTTTTCTTAGAGGTTATGTCATTCAAAATCAGTTTTATCTTAGTAAGTACTGATGACTAACTTTTACAAAAAATGATCAAAATTTGGAAACGTTATGAGCTTACTTACATGCACAAGGCAGGAATTTTAAACATCTTCTCTAGCGTTTAGTTGGTTATCCTTTAATGGATTTTTTCTTTTGTTGGTTTTGTTTTTGTTTGTAATTTATAAATGTCTTATTGAATGTTTCTTTTTGGTTTAGTTATTAATGACAAATAACAGCTTGTTTTATTAATAATAATGCACAACGATTAAGGACTGCTGGTTGTAGAAGGCGGACCGGAGTTATGTCGGATTATTCAACGCCCGATCTGGACGATGAGAAGACAATGCCGATTTCTGCGTATACTGACCGCCGCGCGCAACTGACCAACACCCTTTGGCACATTAGAAAAGTGTTTATGACCCAAAATTTCTTTCGTTTCGAGCACGAGTTTTCAAGTGGATCACGTAAAAGAACTAGATAGAAGTAATTTAATATACAAAATAGACTAAAAAAAAAAAACGTACACTGAAGAAATAAGACAACAATTTTTAAACAAGCTTGAACAATACAAATACACATCACACTAAAAAATTTAATGAAAGTCATTTTGGTGTAACAAAAACACCATTGTCGAAGACCACACAATAGATAGAAAAACATCAAAATTTTACAATCTGAAACAAAACACTATAACAGATTGTTGCTTGAGTCATTAGACATTTTTAATAAGTGAAACGTTATGTTTATGAAAAAGAATAGAAACGTAGAGGTATAAATGAAATAAACATTTACGCTTTTTCCAAAAAGCTCGACGTCATAAAAACCCCAACACCGATACATCTATATACATAAAAACGGGGAACCCACTTTTTCACATTCTAAAAGCTATGAGTCGTCGAGAAAACATAATATTCGGTATTCGTCGAACGCAGTAACGCTTGAAAAGTAAAAATACATCATAAAAGTAACGCAATAATTAACAATATTTTCATTTACGATTCCACGTGGTTATTTACGTCGTTTCATGTCTCCATCTACACAAACAGTACTATCAATGCAACGGCATTTTTCACCTTCTACCTATTCGCAGGTAAAAATCTTCTAGGAACACAATAAATCCCAGTGAGAATTTAAGGGTGGTTCGAAACAAGTTTTTCCACTAACAATCCACAACCTCACTCTCCATCCCTGTCTAACACCACCGCAAGCAATCCAACCGACAAGAAACGAACGATTCACCATAACCACCAAACCAATCAAAAGCATCCTTAAAAGCGTAATTCTAATAGGATAACGGCTTTCGGGGGTTTGCTATTTGAATCTTACTAGAGTTCAGTCGAGGCAGATGTCTCGTAAGGGTGGTTAGTTCGAGTGTAATATTACTTTAGAAAAATAAATCAAACTGTAAAGTGATATGCAAACGTAATTGCATCATAAATAATCAACCGCGTCACTTTTAGCGATATTTTTTGGTAAAAATTTCCCTCGGGTTGTATCAGATTCGATATGACTTCAACGCCCAATGATTCGTTCAATACCAGCGACCACTTAATGGACTTGTCCGTTAAAACCTTCTGGGTGATTGTCCATTATCCCTACAGCGATCCCGAATGTGAGTACGAAATAGTTAGCAAAAAGGATGTGGTTTTCGATTCATGGGAGGTTCTGGAGAGAGGCGCCGAGGTTACGGTCAAATATGGAAACGCTAAAGTGCAGGGCAACGTGGTCGCGGTTTCAGGTAAGTCGGGTTTAATTTTTACTTTAACAGTTTTTTGTTCTTGTGTACATAATATGTTTATTGTAATTACATTTCTTGTTGAATAATGCGGTTCATTATTCACTGCTGTGAGTTATGAATCATTACTCACAGGCTGTCACAATTGCACGTGCGGTATCATCGTAACGTTAGAACATCAGTCTTGCATGCTAATGTTATTTTGTTGCCCATAAACGATTTCTAAAATTGTTTTTCTAAGTAAATTTGTGCGTTTTAATTTAATATCAGTGAAGTCCGTTCCTGAGTAGCTACTAGTAATCGAGCCCAACGAGCGACTTGCTACTTTCGTGTTCTTTGGACGTTTTATGACCCCTAGACATTCCCCTAGAGTACGAAAAAAGGGGTCTCCCGTTTCCGTCTGTTTGTCTGGCGTCTGTGGCAATTTTTAATGTACACATAATCTCCGAAAATACTAGACCGATTGTTGTCAAATTTTGTATATTAGGAATATCATGTCGGTGGTCAAACGCTAACCAAAATTTGGCTAATCATCCCCACTACCAATGGAATGACATCATCTCCAAAATTTGCAATTTTATTAAATAAGATACTCCTGCACTTGTGATATATGAATTTCTGTTGAGTTTTCATCCTAGACATCCAGATTTTTGGAAAAAAAAACAAAATTTTAAAACATTTTGCAGTTTAACTTGAAACTGCAAAACCGAATGATCCGAAATCTTGCAAACGTTTTAAGCTTATCGTAATCATGGTAAGTCATTAAAATCAAAATTTATTCGTTTGAAATATGCAACATATTATTATTATGACTCTATACTTCTGACTTCTCAGCACACTCATAGTTTTTAGAATTACTTACACAGGGTGACTCAAAAAAATGAATCAATGAGGCAATTTATTTTATTAATTAAATCAAGAACGACTTACTCAATTTTCACAAAAATTTGGGAGTACGGTACTGTTGTTATTACTATTACATTGCATCTATCCAAATTGACATACGTGTCCTTGCAAAAATGTTGATGATCATCACAAAATTTTGTAATGGAAAAACTCACTTGAAACAACGCATAGCACGCTTCTTAACATTTACTTTAACTTTACATACTTACATTTATTTTAACTTATAGGGGTTATCATAAAAACAAAATTGGCAAAATCAAATTTTATAATTTTTCGAAAAATCTAGAGATATTGACTTTCGATAAATCACTATTTTTCAATTTTCCTTTTTCTTCGATTTTCCATTTTTTTGATATCACAAATTTTCGTTGTTTCATTTTCTTTTATTTTTTAATTTTTCCACTTTTAATATTGTACTTTCATAATATTTCGTTATTTCGACTTCCAAATTGTCCAAGTTCCCGTCTTTACAATTTTTTGATTTTCAATTTTTCAATTGCTTTTTCAATATTACAATTTCGATATCTCAGTTTCTCAAATTTCAATTTTTCATTTTTTAGTTTTAAGTTCTTCATTTTTATTTTTCATTTTGCTGATTTTTTAATTTTCATTTTCTCGATTTTATATCACAATTTTTCGTTTATTCATTTCCTTTATTTTTTTAATGTTTCTTTCGATTTTATAATGTTTCGTTTATTCAATTTTTCAAATTTTCAATCTTCGATTTTTCAATTTCTCAATTTCCAATTTTTCAATGTTGCAATTTTAGGACTTCCGATTATCAAATTTTCCGATTTCTTTAATTTTCAAATTTGGAATTGATAATACATATATATTACGTTTTTTCAATTTTGCACTTTTTCGATTTTTAAGTTTCTCAATTTTTAATCTTCCGATTTTTCAATTTCTCGTTTCTTCAATTTTTCAAATTCTTGATTTCCAACTTTTAGATTTTTCAAAGTTTTCATTTTATACTTTTTCGTTTTTGATTTTTGAATTTTGTAATTTTTCATATAAAAAAATCGAAAAACTAAAAAATTGGAAAAAAAGAAAAACCGTAAAACTAAAAAACGAGAAATTACAATTCGAAAACTAAAGCAACGAAAAATTGAAACTTTGAAAAATTAAAAATCGAGAAAATTATGCATCAGAAAAGTAAAAAGAAGAAAAAACGAACCAACCAAAATTCAAAAATTATAAAACCAAAAAATTACAGAATCGTCAAAATTGTAAAGTCGAAAAAATGTAACACTGAAAGATTGAAAAATCGAAAAATTAAAAATAGAGAAATTGAAAACCGAAAAAATGAAAAATCCAATGAATGAAAAAGTTTTAAAATCCAATATAATTGAAAAATAGAATACTAGAAAAATTACAAATCAAAAATTGAAGAAATGAACAATTGAAAAATCTTCGAATTGAAAACTCTAAAACTGAAAAACGAAAAATTAAAAAATCCAAAAGTTGAACAGTCAAAAAACTGAAAACCGAAAAATTGTAAATTGAAACAATGAAAAATCCAAAAATTGAAAATTTTCACATTGAAAGAAAAATATATAAAATCAGAGCCTTGAAAAACCGAAAAATTGAAAAATAAAGAAAATAAATATTGAAGACATGAAAAATCAAAAAATTGAAAACTCGTGAAACTGCAAATCGAGAAATTTCAAAATCTAAAAAGTGAAACATTCAAAAGTTGGAAAATCGAAAAACTGAAAAACGAAAAATTGGAAAAAAAAAATGAAAAATTCAAAATTGAAAACTTGAGAAACTCAAATCGAAAAATTTCAAAATCCGAAGAATGAAAAATTCCAAAGTTGAAAAATTGAAAAACAAAAAACTGCAAATCGAGAAATTTCAAAATCTAAAAAGTGAAACATTTTATTTATAAATTCTATTGTATTAATAATCATATTTTAAAACAAATTATAAAATCGAAAACATTGAAAAAACGAAAAATTGAAAAATTAAAAATTGAAAACTCGAGAAACTCAAATCGAAAAATTTCAAAATTCAAAAGTTTGAAAATTGAAAAACAAAAACTGCAAATAGAGCAATTTCAAATTCTAAAAAGTGAAACATTTTATTTATTAATTCTACTGTAAAAAATATTAATATGTATTTTAGAACATTATAAAATCGAAACACTAAAAAAACGAAAAATTGAAAAATTAAAAAGTGAAAACTCGAGAAACTCAAATCGAAAAATTTTAAAATCCAAAAGATGAAAAATTTAAGTTGCAAAATTGAAAAACAAAAAAATTTAAACTTGAAGACTCGAAAAATTTCAAATCGAAAATCTAAAAAAAACAAAAGAAAACGGAAAATTGCAAAGTCGAAAAAGTGGAACATCGAAAAATTGCAAATCGAAGAACTGAAAGAACGAAAAATTGAAACTTTGAAAATTTTAAAATGGTGAAACTCAAAAAGCAAACAAATTCGTCAATAAGAAAATTGGAAAGAAGAAAAAAGGAACCGATCAAACCCAAAAAATGTAAAATCAAAAATTTTAGAATCATCAAAATCGAGAAATTAAAGATCTAATCGAAAAGGTTTTAAAATCCAGTAATTGACAAACAGAAAAATTCTAAAATAGTAAATCGAGAAAAAGAAAAATCTTAAAAATTACATAACATATTAAAATAAAAACTGGAAAAATTGCAAATCAAAAATTGAAGAAATGAAAAATTGAAAAATCTTAAAACTCAAAACTCTGAAACTGAAAGAACGAAAAATTGAAAACCGAAAAATTATGAATTGAAAGATCGAAAAATCCAAAAATTGAAAATTTTCACATTGAAAAAAGAAAAATGATAATATCAGAACGTTGAAAAACCGAAAAATTGAAAAAATAAAGAAAACAAAAGACCAAAACGAAAAATCGCAAATCGAAAACTGAAGACACGAAAAATTGGAAAATTGAATAACTGAAAAATTACAAATTGAGAACTCGTGAAACTGCAAATCGAAAATTTTCAAAATCTAAAAGGTGAAACATCCAAAAGTTGGAAAATCGAAAAACTGTAAAATGTAAAAATGAAAATTCGTAGAGATGCATATAATCGAAAAATTAAAAAAAATTAAATTGAAAAAACAAAAAATTATAAAATCGAAACATTGAAGGCTCAAAATTCAAACTGGAAGACTCGAAAAATTGCAAATTGAAAATCTGAAGAAACCAAAAAAACCGACAAACTGTACAATGAAAAATTCAACTCGAAAAAGCTGCAGGAGTGTTATTTACGCCACTGGCTTTTACTTTATAGACACTATCAGAAAACAAAAATCGCAAAAAAATATAATTTTTCAAAGAAGCGACATTTCTTGAGCTTGCGATGCATAACATGATCAACTTTCCGGAGGAAACAATTTAATTTTAGTCATTTAATACTCTTAAATTCCAAATAAACGACGGACAGACAGACGGAAATATTCCAAGGGTTGTAAACGCCAAAAATATGGAATTACACTCGTAAAAAAATCTGATTATAATATTTTTCGGAGCTACGAATTTATTAAAAAACGAAATAATTTTTGAAACAGTTTGTGAATAACATACCAATATTTCTACAGTGCGTACTATTTATCATGCTGCTCCTCACTGACATCAGACATCACATAACAAGTTCAGATCTCCTATTCCTCTCGATGCAACACACACGTACCAAACCTATTATTCAACCGCTACTGAACAAATGATGTTTTCAAACGTTTCAAACGCACATACTTGCCGTTTTTCAATTTCCGTTAATTTTTTTCAAAACTTCCATTTATCCTTCGACGTGTGCCACTTCTTTACATCAGTTTCAATTACACCAAACTAACAATATTCAACCTATGTTTGCGTTATTTTTAGAATTTCCTTTAAAACCCCATTTAACGTTCAAAGTTTTACCGGCACTCGTATTTTAACGCGTTCCAAATTAATATCGCTGCAAGAACACTAAAGCCCTTCACATAACAACTGTCTAAATAACTTAGTTCGAAGTTAGTAATTACGCTCATTTAAATTAGTATTTAATGACGCTCAACTTTATTGCTTTCACACCTGAATAAATTTGACACATTTCAGACGACTACAGTGGGCTTTCTGCCAATTTCGACGATTACGTTCAAGAGTACAAAGAAATAAAGTTCGAGAAGGTAAGCCTAAGTCCTCACTTGATTATTTTCAGCCGCTACACCGAATAAAAATTTCAGAGTAGAAATTCGTTCTGTGAAAAGCGCGGAAATAGGAACAGCTTTCGACATGTAATTAAAATAGCAGACAAGGAAACTCAGACCGACGAGGACACGGAAACTGGAAATATTGAATACGAGGCATTAAAGCGACAATACGAAGAACTACAGAATAAATATAACGACCTGAAGGCGGCAGTCACAGGTGGGTTTCCATTTCCAATTTACATGAGAGTAACTAGAGTGTCTGAAACTTTTTTTCAGAGGTTAGAACTGAATTGCAAGGCACCGTTTTAAAACTCGGCGTATTAAAAAGCGAAGAAAAGGAAACGTTCATCCACAAGACGACCCTTCAGCCCGTAAATGATAACGCTTCAGGTTACAATAAAGAAAACAGCAAGCAAATGGTGATTAATCCGAACGAGGTGCTATCAAATGCGGGATTCGGTGCAGAATTCAATGCTGGTTCGGTTGAGTTAATTTCAATACCAGCAATTCGGTGCAGATTTCGACGTTTCAGATACAACTTCACCAAAAATAAAAGCAGCTTAACGCGAAATTTACAGTCACATGGCGTTATCATTTCTAGATAATTCAACCCAATCAATTTGGGAATTAACTTCGACAATTCGCGGTTTGTTAGCCCTTCGATTAATAAACTCCTGAAAGTGACTTTAAATAATCGTAACTGTAAAAGTTTCAGGTGCAAATCGGTTCAGGTGGTACTAAAATACCCCGCCAGGTATACAATTCTATTACATGGACGAGTTACTCTTCGGCTACGAGAAAATTACTGATTACCCTTTTTCCTCGTAGTGTTCTTGCTACCCACTCTCTGACCGGGAAACCCAGCCCTGCGTTTATTTCGAGCAATAAACAAACCAAAATGAGGTCCGATGGAAATCTAATGATCATAATTTATTATTAAATCGTTCGTCCCCTAGGTTGAACCCCACAATTATTTCTGACATTATAGAAGTTATCACGAAAAAGTGTCTCGTTTCGGAGTCGTTAGTCAGGAATGCAATTACCACCAAATGTGCAGACGAAAATAAAATGTACAAGAAGAGACTGGAAAAAAGGAAGGACGATAAGGCGGCGAATGACGAAAACGACGCAAAGAAAATTCGGTTAGCGGAATGAAAACTGTTACTGTTATTTTTTATTAATTACCTACCAGAATTAAATGATTTAGTTATTTTAAATTGCGCGCCTTTTTATAGAAAATTCCTCTAGTCGCGTAAGCGATCGTTGAACAAGACACAACGAGATGTCGCTACCTGCACGACTTACCATAACCACATGTTAGCATCAATCAAATGATCAGAAAAATAAAATCAATGTTATATAATGTAATAAAAATCGGCTTATTTTTACAACAACATAAAAAAACGCTATATTCGGCCGCACGTAAAAACAAATTGGTCGTTCGGCCAAAATAAATTTGTATCGCGACACGTAAAACAATTCTTTACTAGTATAGCTTATGCATAAAAAAATCACATGCGTCACGATTTTTGACGCCTTCATTTAGAAGAATTATTTCGGCGATTATTAATAGATGTTCGTAAAGCAATTAAAAAGAAGCCACGTTGTAGCACGAAAAAGATGTAAGGTCAAGAGAATTTTTAGAACGGTGTTGTTGGGGAAGTTTACATGACCATGGCACTGGGTATTTATGAAGGAAGTCGTCGATTTATTTGTGTACGTGTAAAACGACAACCCCACCGTTCATTTTAAATGTCAAAATGATGATGGTACAGTTTAGTACCAATTTGTTATCAATCGCTAAATAATTTAATCTGTATAAGTAACTGACGTCAGTAAAATAATATTGCTTTTTTTAATAGTTTTATTTATTTTATCATTTGTACTTATTTAAACTGTTTATCTGCTAAAAACATTTTTAAACAGTGGATTCCAATAACAAGGTAACAGACTGACATCTTTATTATTTGTTAAAAACACGTCTAGCATTTTTTTTTTTTTTGTTATTTTTTAGCATTTTCTTTATTTTATTCATGGAAAATAACTCCTTTAGGTTGAAGTGTTTTGTTTGTGAGACGAATTTTGGCTTTGTTGCACGTGTAAATACTAAGAATACCCTCTCACATGATATCTGTATTCCCAAATATGTTTATATGTATTTTGTGTCAGACTATTAGAGACTTCTAAATACCATTTTTATTGCGTATATTTTGACCTTTAAAAATACTTAGCTGCAGACGGTTTTTTCCTGAATAATACTTAGAAAGCAAAATATAAAATACTGAATTTAATGTTACGACGAGATTTCAAGAGATAGCTTTATTGTCAGACTGACTCGTGATTCGTCACCTAAATCAGTCCTGTCAGATGTAACCCGGAAATGAAAGTTTACTCTCAATTAAAATGATTTCAAACCCACTGTACTCTTTACACGTGTATGTGGATAATTACCACTTACACAACAAAATTTCCAATCAATTTTTTTTTCATAAGTATATTTGGACTCTCATTTTAGCAGTAACCTGTATTAAATAATACGTTAAATAATCTTTTGTCTGATATCACCCAGGCGAAAACACTAAATTTACAAGGAGTGGAAATCCAGCAAGTTTGTTAAATGTAACTATGTGAATATTAATAACCCTAGTAATTGTAGACATTTATCTTCGCAATCACGATACTCGACATTAACGTGCCGTTTAAAATCCGCGTGATAGATCGAAATTTCCAACAATTTGTAAGCAATTCAAAGCTCGCTTTAAAGAAAATTTAAAAAACGTTAAAGAAGATGGCGATCCCAGGTGTACGTAATGCACCTTCTATTCAACAAGCGTCTCGTCTTGCATAATGGTTTCGGAAAATTGATAAAATCCTCGTCAGGTAACAGATAAATTACGGCACAAATTACGCTTGAATATCCAATAAAAACCTTATTAGCTGATTCAAGCATAAAAGTCGTTACGCTATGAAGGTCTCTCACAAGGTTTAATTGATTTTCTGCTGTCACTCCGGTGGTTGCTAAAATTTGTAATTTTTAAAATTTACGCTTTTTTAAATATCGAAATCCATCATCGCAACAAGGAAGCCGACTTTGCGTATGTGTACATTAACAAACGACTTAATTTGCATAAAAATATTTATTGTGTGCTAACGACCATGAAATTAACCGTGGACTGTGCATGTACTATTTTTCATAGTTCAGTAAGTTTATAATAACTTCCCAGTTCAAGGTGTCCACAAGTGGCGATAGACAACTCTAACAAGGTGGTGGATTCAGGAATTTTTCAATGTAAACTTAGTTGTGCTACAAAACAAAATTACCGAAATTCTTATTATTAATTGACTAAAACTAAACTTGGTATATTTTGTGCAACCAAAAACGAAGTGACTCAGAGTTGGCTGTAAATAGCTGGCAACAGCTGGCATCATTATTTGCAAAATTGGATAATAAAACGGCAGCAGAGTCACTTTGCGAGAAGGACTTGTCTCTGACTGCAATTTTGACCTCTCCTCTTTATGTGTCAAGTGTACTGTAACTATGTGGGTGTAACCAAATTGTATGCATCGATAATAAATAGTTCCTCATTTATTAAATTGTGTGGGCTCACTTAGAACATGATAATAAAGAACAATAAATGCCACTGCCAACAAGGTGTTCGGTTCACTACGAGCAATTTTCTCTTAAAATAATCCTAACCGGGGGCCAGTTTTTCCGCGAAATTAGTCGAAGTCAGATTCGCTTTTCACAAAAATGGACAACAGTCGGTTTTCAACTTGAAATATTTAGTGTGTTTTCAACTCAAGCATAAATACGATACAGTCATTTATTTTTTCTTGATAAAAAGGTTAACTTCGTCATCGCTATATCAGTGCGTATTTTTTACTTTTATAAATACAGTCATGGGAATAGTTATTTTGCCCACGCTTCCAGTATATTAGAAATCTAACTTTCGATACTGACGTGACGTTAAGAGTAAAATCTTACTTTCATAGAGAGCAAAAAAAGTGATAATAACGTCACGACGATTAAATAAAAACACATGGTCGAAGTTTATTTCGACAGAACTCAAATAACACCCCTGCGCTGTGGAGGTACAAATTCCAATGGGACGCCGCACAACTAGGGACAATGTAAAATATATTTGAAGCACATAACCAACAGGAAAAAATGTCCTCTCAACAATAATAACATGTCTAACTTCAAATGTTTTTGTTTACTGCCCATTCACAATAGACATAAGGCATAACAAGTACATAAAGCTTACATAAATACATAAAGTTGAAACGATGGAAAACGTGTACCCCTGTTCACAGTGGACGAAGGTAATTCTTATGCTTATGAACGTTTTATGTAATCCTTGTGTGCGTACACAAAGTTGAAACAAATTCAACTTTGTGCACGAATTATGTCAAAATTATGTTAAAATCTAGGGACTTTTGAATGCTGCTATTGAATTCCCTTTGACAGTTGGCACTTGGCACTTCACATCTTTGATTATATTATATAAATTATAATCAAAGCTTCACACTGCGAGTCTGTTCTGTTCTGCGAGTTGTCAAGTTCGAATATCGTATGAAATTGTAGGTTAGATATTTTGATTGACTCAGTTTGATGTTATCCGTTTCTATGTTTACCCGGGAGTTATTCCGTTCTGCGTTTGCGCAGTTTAATAATTCTTACAGAGTTCACTCTGTCCACTGTGAACGTAGATAAGCATAAGCCAGACACAAACCAAAAACGTAAATTATGTTATGCGCTCGTTCTTATGTCTTATGTCCATTGTGAATGGGCAGTTATACATCGGAAGAATGTCACGTAGAAATTTGTTTGATTTGAATGAGTTTGTTGCCTCAAAACAAAACACTAAAATTATTAATTAACAAGTCAAATCAAGACAAATTCATTTACTTTATTAACATGAAATGATTGATACAAAGAAAAATAAAAATAAAAAATTGTCAATTATTTTTTATTTATCTAAATTTTTACTGTACTATAAAGTTGAGAAAAAAATACTCCGTAAAGTTCAATCAATAATAAATACGTTAACACATTTTTGACAGCTTTTGTAATATAATATTTTCCTTAGAGCATTTTCGGCGAGCTTTGTTTTCTGAACACGTTTCTACGTAAGTAATGAAGCGTTTATTTTTGAGACTCATGAAATTGTTGCATTTATTATGCTCTTCCAAATCCAATTCAACATTTTACCTAATTGTACGTCAAGTTGCACTAAAGAACAACGTTGATCAAAAAATTATTTAATTTTTTTTTAAGAAAAATTCCAAAAATTTGCGAATAATAAATACTGAAGGTAACAAAACCAATTTTTTAAATTTTTTTGAAATAAAAAAAAATGCAAAATCTGAAAAATAAAAAAAGTGCAATGGTATTTCTGCAATATACTTTTTTCCGTTGCTTTTTTACAGCAGTGAATTTACGTATTATGCACCCGGACTATCCATTTGCAAATTTAATCATTACTTTTAGCTAATACATAAAAAAGTTGTACAAGGTGTCCCCTTTTCGCTGACTCACCTGTACATGCAAAATTTAACAACAATCGGTCCAGTAGTTTCGGAGTTTGCGTGTCTAATAAAAATCGACGCAAATAGCAAACAGACATACAGACAACAGATAGACGGAAACGGGAGACCACTTTTTCGTACTATAGGGGTAATGGAACGTCGAGAAATCATGGAAATAGCAAATTGCCCTAATGTCGGATTGAGGACATGGGGGTCCACCGGGAAATTTTCAAAGTGGGCCCCTGTATTCAGATATTGTTTGGGTGTTATTATTATTGTTATTATTTTCAATTTTGTCGGCGACATTGGCGTTTTAAAAAAAATGATGTTGTTTTTGGAATTTTGATGACGCCACCAAGAAAAACAAGGCTAGTAAAAAATTATGAAAAGTTATTTTGACAAAATTTCCCTCGCCCTTGAAGGATAGTCCAACAAATTCCGCTTGTTCAAAGGCGTTAACGAACAAATTTTGATTAACAATTTATCATCTTTCCTATCATCTTAAAACGATTGAAGTATTTTACTTCATTCGCTTTGGCGGTTTTAAAATTAAATTCTAAAATACAATTTTGAACGAACATTTGTTCTACAAAATTATAAAATGACGTCATCATTTTGTAGGAGGC